TGTTTATTGGACGTTCTGAACGGATATTCCAGACGTTCTGAATGAAAGTACCAAAATTTTCCGTCAGAGATTGCAGAATTTCCTCACGGAGGTTTCATCTGTGTCCGAAGACGATTCCAGACTCTCTGGACGGAGATTAGAGACGTTCGTAACATTCCAGGCGTGCCGGACTTAGATTCGAGACGTTCCCTAAGAGGATTATGAACGATTCCAAAGATGATTCGAGACTTTCCAAACAAAATCTTCAATCGTTTTCGACAGGGATGACTTAGATTCGAGACGCTGCAGCAGAAGATTCCAGCCCTTCCTGATGGAGGTTTCTGCCAGAAGATCCCAAGATGATTCCGGCAGACTTTCCAGATAGAAACTCAAAACGTTTTCGACGGAGATTCGAGGCGTTCTCAACTTGGAATAAGGATGTCCCTCACTTAGATTCGAGAAGTTCTCAAAGGAGATTCCAGAAGTTTCTGACTGAGTCCGTTGTCGATTTGGCGTTCCCGGCGATGATTTAAGACTTTCCCCTCGTCGGTTCCAGATGTTCCCAAAGATGATTCCAGACTTTTTCGATGGAGATTAGAGACGTTTGTTACTTGGACTCCAGACGTGCCTGACTTTGATTTGAAACTTTTCCGACGAGGACTCCAGACCTTTTCGAAGAAGATTCCGGACGGTCAAGACGGAGATTTCAAACATTGTCGGCGATGATTTTAAAAATTCCAACACTTGGTTATTAGACGTTCTGAACCGAGATTTCAGACGTTCCTAATGGAAGTTCCAGACTATCATGGTAGAGATTTCATCTGTTCCCCAAGATGATTCCAGACTTTCTCGACGGTGATTAGAGACGTTTGTTACTTGAATTCCATACGTTTCTGACTTAGATTCGATACGAAGACGAAGAAGACTGTCCTAACAGAAATTCCAATCGTTTTCGACAGGGATGACTTAGATTCGAGACGCTCCAGCAGAAGATTCCAGACGTTCCTGTCGCTGGTTCTAGACGTTCCGAAGATGATTACAGACGATACCAAAGATGATTCCAGTCGACTTTCCAGACAGAAAATCGACAAAGATTCCCGACTATCCCGATGGAGATTCGAGACGTTCTTAACTTGAAATAAAGATGTCCCTAACTTAGTTTTGTGAAGTTCTTGAAGGAGATTCCACAAGTTCCTGACTGAGATTCCATTCGTTCTCGATTTGAATTTGGGATGTTCCTGGTGGAGACCTTCCCCATGAAGGTTCTCAACATGATCTTAACTTAGATTCGAGGCGTTCTCGACGGAGATTCCAGACGTTCCTGAAGATGATTCCAGACTTTCCCAGCGGAGATTTCAAATATTTTCGACGATGATTTTAAAAGATCCCAACTTGGCTATTGGACGTTCTAAATGGAGATTCCAGACGTTGCTAATGGAAGTACCAGACTTTCCCGACCGAGGGTGCAGACTTTCCTCACGGACGTTTCATATGTGTCCGAAGACGATTTCAGACTTTTCCCAGAGACGTTCGTAACATGAATTCCAGACGTGCCTGACTTAGATTCGAGACTTTCCCGAAGAGGATTCTGAACGATTCCAAAGATGATTCGAGACTTTCATACCAGAAATTTCAATCGTTTTTGGACAGGGATGACTTAGATTCGAGACGCTCCAGCAGAAGATTCCAGACCTTCCTGATGTAGGTTCTAGACGTTCCGAAGATGATTCCAGACGATCCCAACGATGATTCCGGCAGACTTTCCAGATAGAAAATCAAAAAGTTTTTGACAGGGATTCTGGAATTTCCCGACGGAGATTCGAGGCGTTCTCAACTTGGAATAAAGATGTCCTTGACTTAGTTTCGAGACGTTCTCAAATGAGATTTCTGACTGAGATTCAGTTGTTCTCGATTTGGATTTGAGCCGCTTCCGGTGGATGTTCCAGATGTTCTCAACCAGACTTTTTCGATGGAGATTAGAGCTGTTAAAATTTAATACTTATGTGATTTCTATGACAATGACCAACAAGCCTGTTTTTGTTACGGTCAGTTTGTGAAGTGTGAACAAATTACAAATTCAAGACCAACAATTGAAATGGCCTTAACTCCATTTTGCAAACAAACCTGTTTAGACTTAGACTTTAATTTCATTCTTAACTTCCCACTAAACTGATTCAAAATGGTTGCTTCCTTGACCTGATTTATGGTTCTGTAACTGACAGGTTTTCGTTATGCTATGAATAAATTACAAATTACAAAACCTTGTAAGGCCATTTTCTCGCGAACCGAAACCTTCATTCGCAAACCTAAACCACAATCGGGTAGAGGAGAATTTCTCCTACCTTTTCATTATGTTGGTTTGCCTTTGCGGACTTTGGTTCGCGAGAAAATGGCCTTACAAGGTTTGTTTACAAAATGGAGTTAAGGCCATTTCAATTGTTGGTCTTGAATTGATAGTTGAATATGTGTCTGACAACAACAACAACAACAGGCTTGTTTGTTGTTGTCATGGTAACTACAACATCTTTCTGAATACTTGAACCAAAGGTACAGTGGTGAAATACAAAAATCCCCCATAGTGATTCCTTCCTACAAACTTCAAATCATTTGCGTGACCTCGAAACCTTCATCAATCTTTACCATTTTATGCATATCAAGACCAACAATTGAAAAGGCCTCAACACCATTTTGTAAACAAACTTTGTAAGGCCATTTTGTCGCGAACCTAAGTCCGCCAACACAAACTAATAGCGAATTCGTTTATTATTCAGTTCAAACCTGGATCGGGTATCAAGATTCGGTCTGCTTGTTTTCAGACAAACGTCAGTTTGATCGTTTGTTTTTAAAACCCAGCTCAGGTTGAGGTTCGCACTGACAAAAAGTTCGGTTTCGCACTGGGTTGGAACTGGTTCCAACACCGATAATAAACGAATTCGCTATAACAAAATGAACAGGTAGTGGAAATTCTCCTCTACCCAATTGTGTTTTAGGTTTGCGAATGTAAGTTTCGGATCGTGAGAAAATGGCCTTACACACGGTTAGAAAAAAGTACCCAAAAGTAAGTTACTTTCACTCATCATCATATAGTGCAGGAACCCAAAGGTAGGTAAAGCGGGTCAAAGTAGTTTTCATTTACTTGTGTGCAATTCATATGGAATTTTCCACTAGCTTTCTACCCAAAAGTAAGTTAGTTGTACCCAAAAGTAGGTAAACATGATTATACGCAACGTTGGGTTCTCACACTTTACTACCCCTTTTGGGTGGTTTTGCTCCTCTGTTTTTGACAACATTAGAAGGAGAAAAGGAGACTAACTAGTCAAAAGTAAGTAAAAGTGAACTTTCCGTTGGGTTTTTTTTTCTTACCGTGCAAGGTTTGTTTCGAGGGGGCGACACATCTAAATCTCAATTCTAGATGCTCGAAAAATCTCACACTAGTGAATAAATCTTCGAAAAATCTTCTTTCATTTCTCGCATCTACTTGCATCGCGCATCATCTTTTTGCAAATCTTCAAAATCGTGATAGATCTTCTTTCTATCTTCTCAGCGAAAGTTTGAGAGCTTGCGACAGGTGTGTTATAGGGATTGATTGAAGGGTTTAACGGCTCTTTCAGTCTTTTTACTGCAGCAAAAACGTTGTATTGCTTCAACTCTCCGACGTTTCGGTGATATATTTCACCATTTTCAAGGATTTCTACAAATAAGAGGATTTAGAAAATTGGATAGGTACTGTGTTGGTTGTGTGGCTTACAGAGGCTACGTTTTTTTGTTAAGTGTTCATCTCAGCGTTCGCACAGCTAGCCACAGTAAAACACAATATTTCCTGCATAGTAGATAGAGTCGTCCCCCTCGGTTTGTTTACAAAATGGAGTTAAGGCCTTTTCAATTGTTGGTCTTGATATGCTCATATTTTGGGGATATGAATCAAACTGGAGGGCGGCCATAATGAGCCATAAACATGAGTACTTTTTTAATTATAAACATTCAAAGCCTGACGGTTTAAATAGGCCTTCAAGCACTATTGGAAAACTGTAGCATTTCCTGAAGTCTCTTGGTAACGTTAAGTCATACAACTTTCTGTTTCTTTGTTTGTTTACGAAGAACAGCTTAATAAGTGAATGTAATTAGAGACCTCAATACACCGGTAAGATTCTAGTTTACAGATTTTTTTTGCTATTGAAGTCCACTGCTACTTTCAATGGAAGTCCCTGCAAGTTGCTGAACTTGTCCCAATGAGCTCTTTGGACTTGTTCTTGATGTTCACTGGTCATAGGGATTTCTCCCTAGAGGGTTTACCAAGGACTTTCCCTAGATGTTTTCTGGGCTTCGTGTAAGAGTCTTTTAGAACTCTTCCAGGTTATGTAATTCTAATAGCGAATTCGTTTATTATTCAGTTCCAACCTGGATCGGGTATCAAGATTGGGTCTACTTGTTTTCTGACAAACGTCAGTTTGCTCGTTTGTTTTTAAAACCTAGCTCAGGTTGAGGTTCACACTGACAAAAAGTTCGGTTTCGCACTGGGTTGGAACTGGTGTTAACCCCGATAATAAACGAATTCGCTATAAGATGCATTTCGTAACGTTTGTGATTCCTAGAATTCTTTTGACAGGCTTGAGAATTGCTTAATTATATGGAGATTTAAAAAAAAATCATTAAGGCTTTTGAAAATGTTAAGAATTCTGCAGCAAGCTGCTGAATGATGTTTGAACATATCTAAATCATTTGTGTTCTCAATTTTCTTATGTTTTTTTTTTGTTACAGCATTAAACGAAACTGGTGTTAATCAAAATAATAATTTTTCGTTAGTCATATAGTAGATAGGTTAAAACCTCCGCATCAGTAACACCATGTGCATGCAATCGTAGCATATTTAACAACATTACATTTAATCACACTTACCAGTAGTCAAAACAATAGTTTCAAAAGATCCCCAACCACTAGGTTCATTGCGTTGTGCTGTCAAAATTTTCACCTAAAGCACCTGTCATCTCCGAAGCTTACTAACCGCATTTTTTCCATTAAAGCTCTTCAAAGGCAACAAAGACGGCGACTCCACTCGTCACAATTCGTTCGAAGTGCCCATCATTGCCCAGTGGATCCGGATTAATCCGACCCGCTGGCAGAACCGTATCTCGCTCCGCGTCGAACTGTACGGATGTCACTATGGTAAGACCACATTTGGAATCCGCTTCCATTCAGAGTTAACCCGCGTGCTTAATTTTACAGAATCCGAGAACGTCTACCTCAACGGAACGGGCCTGATTCGGTACGATCTGCTGCGGGATCCCATTTCAGCTACGCGGGAAACAATCCGGTTCCGGTTCAAGACCGCCCAAGCCAATGGGATTTTGCTGTACTCAAGGGGAACACAGGGTGACTACCTGGCGTTGCAGATCAAGGACAATCGGATGGTGCTGAACATGGACCTGGGATCGCGAATCATGACTTCGCTGTCGGTGGGCAGTTTGTTGGATGATAACATCTGGCACGATGTGGTCATCTCGAGAAACCGAAGAGACATCATGTTCAGCGTGGATCGTGTGATCGTGGAGAAGAAGATCAAGGGCGAGTTCGATAAGCTGAATCTTAATCGAGCGGTGAGCTTCTTTGTCTGCATCTAATTTTGATAAGGGATTTTAAGATTTGGTTTTCCGTTTTTTAGTTCTATATCGGAGGTGTCCCCAACATGCAAGATGGTTTGATTGTTCAGCAAAATTTTACCGGGTGTATCGAAAATCTGTACCTCAATGCAACGAATTTCATTCGGGACATGAAGCAAGCCTACGAAGAGGGTGAACATCTGCGTTACATCAAAGTGCACGTCAATTACAACTGTCCGGAGCCGCCGATCAGTCCGGTAACGTTTCTGACACGGGGATCGCACGCGCGGCTGAAAGGATACTATAGTGTGAAGCAGCTGAACGTGAGCTTCTCGTTCCGAACGTACGAAGATAAGGGCTTGATGTTGCATCACGATTTCCTGCGTGGCTCGGTTAAGGTGTACCTGGAGGATGGAAAGGTGAAGGTCGCGTTGAAGAACGCAAATGAGGAAAGTGCACCGGAGACGGTGCTGGATAACTACGACGAGCAGTTTAACGATGGAAATTGGCACTCACTGATGTTGGCGATCAAGAAGGACAGCTTGGTGCTGAGCGTTGACGAGCGCCCGATGGAGACTGTCAAGTAAGTTTTTGGGGGTGGTTCTTAAATTTTTACCGGAAGAGAAGTAAAGCCGTTGGTCCCCGGTCCATGAGATGATGGGTCAATAGGTAGGGTCCAGGTGTGGGAGCTGCCTTCCTGCGTCGGTAGCATTGGTACTTAGTACGGAAAACAAGAGCGACGGAAATATAAACAAAGCATCAGAGAGGTTCAGCAAACTTCAGATAAATTTGGATAAGTTTGAACCTGCACACCTCAGAGCTGAGCTGTCAGCTGGTGTCGTCAGGGAGGTATTCAAGGAATTTCATAAGCTTTCAGTTGGCTCTAAAAGAGCTCAGCGGGTGTTAAGAATACTTGATGCAAGGTCGAGGATGCTTTGAGAAGTTCATAATCTTCAAGGACTTCCATAACCTTTTATTCACTATTCAGGAAACTTCAGAAATTTCCGGAGCAGCTTCCTAGAATGGTATCAAAATTTATCGAAAAATGTTCCCAATGATGGCAGAAGGCCTAAAAATCGTCTGAACTTGCCCCGGAAGGCCTTGGAACTTTCGGTGGAAGCCATTTGGACATACTCTGAAGACTCTCAGTATTGCCCTGGAATTGATTGCGTTGGAGCTGGAGGCCCTCTGAACTTATTCAGTGCGTCCTCTGAACTTGCGTTGACTTAGACTGGAGACCTTAAAGACTTGCTCATTAGGTGCTTTGAATTTGAATAGAGCATCATCTACATTTATCCTGTAAACCCTTCTCTGTAGGTTCCTCTTCCCAAATCATTTTCAAAATTGAAAAAAAGAATAATTTAACAGCAAACACCTAATATCAATAAATATATCCATCAACCACGCAGGGACATTTTGAAAGCCGAATCAAACCCAGACGGCAGGTAACGTTTCTTTAATTCTACTGTGTGTTTGCTTATCCAAGCTTCCCTTCCGCTTACTAAGCTAAAACGAGTGCAGTGGCTTCTAAATCGAGTGAAGCTTTTGGATTCTTCAATCCTTCCCCATCTCTAAGATCTCAATCATATTCAACAATAATTTTCCTTCCGACAGATTGCTGGACATCAGCACCGGTGAGCTGTACTACATCGGCGGCGGTAAAACGAAGGACGGTTTCGTCGGTTGCATGCGAACCATCGTCATCGACGGCAACATTCGACCGCCGTCGGATTGGAAAGAGGAAGATTTCTGCTGCAAAGGAGAGATGCTGTTCGACGCCTGCCACATGATCGATCGCTGTAATCCGAACCCTTGCAAGCACAACGGAGTTTGCAAGCAAAATTCTCTGGAGTTCCAGTGTGACTGTTCGGGAACTGGCTACGCTGGAGCCGTGTGTCACACTTCGTTGAATCCGCTGTCCTGCCAGGCGTACAAGAATGTTAACGTTGTGCAGTCGAGGACCACTATCAACATCGACGTGGACGGAAGTGGCCCGCTGGCACCGTTCCCGGTGACATGCGAATTCTACTCAGACGGTCGGGTGATAACGGTGTTGAGCCACAGCTCGGAGCATACGACCAGGGTGGATGGCTTTTCGGAGCCGGGATCGTTCGAACAGAATATCATCTACGAAGCCGATCTGCCGCAGATTGAGGCACTGCTGAATAGGTCGCAGTCCTGCTGGCAGCGGTTAAACTACGCTTGTCGATCGTCAAGGTTGTTTAACTCGCCATCTGAAGCGGAGAACTTCCGACCATATTCGTGGTGGGTTTCACGACACAACCAGCCTATGGATTACTGGGCGGGTGCGTTGCCAGGCTCGAGAAAGTGCGAGTGCGGTATTCTGGGGACCTGTGTTGATCCGACTAAGTGGTGTAACTGCGACGCGAACAGCTTGGAGTGGCAGGAGGATGGGGGAGAGATTCGAGAGAAGGAATATCTACCGGTGAAGGCGTTAAGGTTTGGTGATACAGGAACTCCGGTCGATGAGAAACTGGGTCGCTATACGTTGGGTCCGCTGAAGTGCGAGGGAGACGACCTGTTCAACAATGTGGTGACGTTCCGTATCAAGGACGCAACCATCAACCTACCGCCCTTCGATATGGGTCACTCGGGTGATATCTACTTCGAGTTCAAGACAACCGTTGAGGACGCCGTGATTCTGAATGCACGAGGTCCTACGGATTTCATTCGGTTGATCATTGTGGGCGGTACGAAGCTGCTGTTCGAGTACCAAGCCGGTACGGGAACTCAAAAGGTTTATGTGGAGACTAGCTACTGGCTTAGCGATGACCATTGGCATTCGGTGAGCGTCGAGCGTAATCGTAAGGAGGCTCGATTGGTGGTTGATGGATCGATTCGAGCTGAAGTTCGCGAGCCTCCGGGTCCGGTTCGGGCGCTGTATTTGACTTCGGAGCTGGTGCTGGGTGCTAGCATCGACTACCGGGATGGATTCGTTGGGTGCCTTCGGGCGTTCTTGCTGAATGGAAACCATGTGGATCTGAGGAGCTACGCAGAGCGAAAACTGTACGGTGTTACTCCGGGATGTGTTGGTCGTTGCGAGTCTAATCCATGTCTGAACAACGGAACGTGTACGGAACGGTATGATAACTTCCTTTGCGATTGCCGTTGGAGTGCATTCAAGGGGCCGATTTGCGCTGATGGTGAGTGGGCTGTAGAGTTGATTTTAACTTCTAATTGTTAACCAAATTGTTCTGTTTGCAGAAATCGGAGTCAACATGAAGGCCAGTTCGATGATCAAGTACGACTTCCAGGGTGCGTTCCGTTCGACGCTGCACGAACGCATTCGTGTCGGATTCACCACTACCAATCCGAAGGGCTTCCTGCTGGGATTCTTCTCCAGTCAAACGAAGGAATATCTGACGATCATGGTTTCGAATTCGGGTCACATTCGAGTGGTGTTCGATTTTGGCTTTGAACGGCAGGAGTTGATCTATCCGACGAAGAACTTCGGATTAGGCCAGTACCATGACGTGCGGTTTTCGAGAAAGAATGGCGGATCTACGGCCGTGCTGCAGATCGATGACTACGAACCACAGGAGTACAACTTTGATATCAAGGATTCGGCTGATTCTCAGTTCAACAACATCGAATACATGTACATCGGAAAGAATGAAACGATGAAGGATGGTTTCATTGGATGTATTTCAAGGGTACAGTTTGACGACATCTATCCATTGAAGTTCCTGTTCCAGGAGAACCCTCCACCAAATGTAAAGTCGTTGGGAAGTGAGTACAAAGGCGGATGTTTTTGGAAAGGTCAGATTATAACGATCAAACATTTTGATTCTAGCTCCCCTGACGGAAGATTTCTGCGGAGTGGAACCGGTAACGCATCCTCCGATTGAGGTCGAGACTCGTCCTCCACCAGAGGTGGACGAAGATAGGCTGCGCGATGCCTATGGACCGGATACTGCTGTCTTGGGAGGTATGTTTACACCTTGAAGAAGACTTTGAAATCCCAACGAAACTTCTGACATTGTTGAACTTCTCCATTTCCAGGTGTCCTAGCAGTTCTCATCTTGCTATTTATAATCATGGCCATCTTGATTAGTCGCTATATGAACCGCCACAAGGGCGAATATTTGACGCAAGAGGACAAGGGTGCCGATGCGGCTCTTGATCCGGACGATGCGGTAGTGCAATCGACTACCGGTCATCAAGTAACCAAACGAAAAGAGTGGTTTATTTAATTTTTTGAAAGCTATGAGGGACTTTCTTTTCCAAAAAAAAAAACAAACCAACCAACAAATCAACAATTAACAGCAGCTGTATATAATGTGTTCAACACGCGTACATCTATTTTCTTCCGTTTTTAAGTTGATTGTCCGTATTGCTAGAAAACATAATCTTTTTCTATGCAACATCTACCTACCTACTTCCGAGCATGTCTTTCACATCACTTATTAACTTAGTAAGCCAGATTCATCCGATTCAAACGGGACATTAACTGGAATCAAAGTAGGCCTTGAAGACACGCAGAGAAAAACGGAAGCAGCATTTCGATTAGTTCTTTTGTTTTGAATTTTATTTCATAAGGCGATAGATTTTTTATTATTACTGATTTTAGCCGTCCATTATCGTACTTTCTTTTAATTAATTAATTAATTAATTTCAAACAATCGAATGATAATCTGAGTTAGAGCTTAAGGGCGTTTATTAAGTTCGAAACAGTTGGTTCATTTCTATCGAATGAACGGACATAAAATAAATAATTATCTTTCAATGCAAAACAGAATCGGAAAGCGAGGGGAGAAAGTTTATAAATTTTAACAGTGTAGGTTTAGTGTACTGCGGTTATAGTTGTTTAGAATCTCGTTCTTTCATTTCCGGCAAATTTTTTAGAGCGCAGAGTGAAGCATGAAGACATTGAAACATTCGCCGAATCCGACGAATGTTTCACGATGTGTAGCATTTCAAAAATCTTCTTCTTTTCTAAGCAAACAAATGAGAGAAAAACTACAAAGAATGCAACCATTTACAGAAACCGGTAAAGTTCGGTCGAGTTTACATCTGAAGACATGTCAGAAGTGTAAATAGTTTTTCAAATACAAAAACAAAGTAACGAAATGCGTGTGTGTGTGTTTTATTCAATCAAGAAAGAAGGGTCAGTTTTTGATTGGCATGTTGCAAAAAGGGTCGGGCGTCAAGTAGTTGCAACATTTATAGGTTGCATTGCGTTGCGTCATACTTTGTGTGTCGTGCAACGCCGAAAGCTCTTCATTGTACGTTAGAGCATTTGAAGCTTTTTTCGGATTATTTGATCTGTTTCGCCATAAAAGCGGTATAAAATTCTCATTCATGCATAACATAAATTCTAATGTACATAGTGGGAACGTTATGCAACACGATTTCTTACAGTCATATTCTTTACTGTTTTATAGGATAATTGAAGGCAACGGTAAAACATTTTCCTATTAACGTCAGGAGGGTGAACAATGTTCTTGCGCACTCAATTTTTGCCAAACGGTGCTCTGAAATTTTGTAGGAATTCACACTTAGAAATTATCGCCAACTTCGGTAATTTTTTCGGAATCTCAACTGCTGAACTGTTCGGTAAAATTAAGGCAGTTTAGTTTAACCATAGAGGTTACTCTAAGACCAGAAGGTCCCGAAGAAACGTGCTCAACTTTTTGGCTCAGCTCTGGTACTATCTTCGGTCCCAAGCTAATCGATTCACCCCTCGAAACATAGGAAAATCCACGAACCTCTCATTTTATCTGTCAAACTTCCAAAGCGAATCAAGACAAACATAGTGTAGTACTGGAATTTATACTAGAATGAGGTACGTTAAATGATTTGCTTGGGACCAGTAGGCTAGTCAAGTAGTGAGACAATTTTAAATCGTTAGTTTCCAACCGGTGGTTTAACTGTTTTAAAGCTACAGAAGAACGAAGACGACAACAATATCTGAGTTTGTTCATTTCACCCTGGACGATAATAGGAGAATTAATAGTTGAGAGCTTTCTATGCCAACCAATTTCTATGCATGAATTTGCATATTGTGTGGCAAACACAATTATACCATAGAGGTAACTCTAAGATCAGAAGGTCCTGAAGAAACGAGCTCAACTTTTTGGCTCAGCTCTGGTACTATCTTTGGTCCCAAGCTAATCTAAGCACCCCTCGAAACATAGGAAAATCCACGAACCTCTCATTTTATCTGTCAAACTTCCAAAGCGAATCAAGACAAACATACTGGAATTTATACTAGAATGAGGTACGTTAAATGATTTGCTTGGGACCAATAGGCTAGTCAGGTAGTGAGCCAATTTAAAATCGTTATTTTCGTATTGATTGTTGATTATACTCTATGTCCAGGCGAAAAAATTTACAACCCGACCGGACCGGGAATCGAACCAGCCTTAGGCTTTGTAATACGTTATCTTATCTAATCAAATACAAACGTAGTAAGAACGAGAAAGTATCCTGGATAATGATTAGGTTAGATAACGGCTAATAATTTTTCTTGTCATTATTGATGTTTGAAGCGTATCTGAGATACTGCAAGGGGTAGGTCACTCTACACACCTATTTCGAGTCAATATTTTTTTTTATTTCTTCAGTGTCAACACTTCAAAGAGGCGTAATTGCTTTTGTAAACAATAGTTTTAGCCGTCGATTTTTCGCGAATAAAAGCTCACACACGAAAAATAATGATACCAACAGGTAGAGGAACGTTTGCATGGCTAATTTGGAGAGGTGAGCTTGTAAAAAATCAACGGCTAAAGTCATTGTTTACAAAAGCAATTACGCCCCTTTCAAATGTTGACATTGACTTATATTCTGGAATGTTTGACAACCCGGTATTTCTGACAGCTTGAATGTTTTGGTTCGAGATCGCAAGGATAACATTGACATCGGTCCAGCAGCAACCAAGAAAACAGGTCCTCTCACTATCACGAGACGAAACTACCTATCATTAGCTTTCTTGTCATTTGTCAATGATTTGTATTTGTATTTGAATTTAAAATAATTCATCCGACAATTTAGTCTTAATGAATAAAATTAGAGCTAATTTAACACAGGCCTAATCCGATTTACAAAACGTTCGGTTGGTTGATCTAACTGATTTAGATGAATTTAAGCAAACAACCGTATGCAATCGGTAGCTCGATCGGTACACAGCAAAAAAAGTTGTTGAATATTACATCGAAACTGCTGCAACCAGGTCAATCCATCGGTTGTGTAATATCACATTGCACGATGTACATCGATTTTGCGAACAAAATTACATCCATTGATGTAATATTGTAGCTGCTTTTTGCTATTACATCATTATTTCATACATCAGCTTGAATTACGTTGATCGATATTACATTTTTTTTGCTGTGTAGAGGGACTATATTATTAAGATTTCCTCGGTACAAGTAACTTTAATAGCATTAAATGAGCTACCCAAGTAGCACACTTGTCACTGAACAGTTGTATTTACTTGTATGCAACTTATTTCCGTCACAACCAAGTTGCATCAATGCATTTTGATGGACGTGTGCAGCTTGGGTAGTAACATAGAGGTAACTCTAAGACCACTGGGTCCCGAAGAAAATCATTATTATTTTTGGCTCACTCAGTACCAGAACAACGGTCCCAAGCAGTCCCAAGCTATTTCACTCACCCCTGCATGTTCTGCATGAATCCACACACCCCTGATGTTATCTGTCAAACTTTCATAGCGAATCAAAACAAACATAGTGTAGTAATAGAATTTCAACTAGAATAGGGTACGTTAATCGTTTGCTTGGGACCAATAGGCTACTAAAGTGGTGAGCCAATTTAAAATCGTTAGTTTCGTATTGATTGTTGGTAGTAATTACAATGATCACAACCAGTGTCTGTTTTTATCATTTACCATCACACGCAAGGAGTATCGCTTCAACCCAGTGTAAATGAATTTAGTTTGTTTTGAAAATCTTCGCTGTTACGCACGAGCGGAATGAACAAATGAGTTCATTATACATCAACGAGTACACGTTTGTTGATATTCTCCAGTGCTTGATTATCGAACCCAAAATTGTCACAAATCAGAAATGATCCTCAAAAGCAAAATAATCAAATTCATTTTGGGCAAAATAATTATTTTGAATATTGTCGACTCCAGAGCCTAAAACCGGGATTTTATCATCAGTTCAGCTTGAGGCAATAATTTACCATCGGTTTGTGTGTAAAAACTAATACGACACGTCCTTATACCCCGGACAGACTATAGCTTATATCATGTAATATAGGCTGTCTTGCAATGAGCACTCATACATCTAGTTTTCACTGGAAATCCAATGTATGAGTGCTCATTGCAAGACAGCCTATATTACATGATATAAACCATAGTCTGTCCAGGGTATTAAGCGCTATATATGAGTAAAATGAAAATAATCATTTTGCATTTGATCCTCAAAATCATCCCCACCAAGATGAAGACGAATATTAATATTGATAACAACGGAGGCGGATGTTCATTAATCCAGCCACGGATGAAGAAAAACAAATTATGACTACGATACTCAGAGCAGCGTTGCCAGATTGTTTTCAAGCTTATCGGTATCAAATGTTTAAAAAGTCGGTATTTATCGGTATTCATTATTTTAATTAATTTAAAATTTTTGCCTTTTTGTAGGCGAAAATTCAAACTTTTGGACTAAGAACGAAGTAGTAAGTCGGAAGAAATTTCCGAGAATATTTGAATTAGTCTCTTAATGATACTGAAAAAACTTCCAGAGAAAAAATAAAGAAGATCTTGCGGTGGAAGTTTGCAGGACATTCTAATAAATATCGGAAAAACATTCGATGAGGATCTTCCAAAACAAATATTGAGAAACTTCTGGCAAAAAAAAATCAGATAACAGTTCAGTTTTGGAAATTGGAAGGCAATTCCAGGGGAAGTCAGAATGACTTATGGAGAAACTTCCAGAGGACGAAAGAAACTTTCGAGAGAACTTCCTGTAGAAGATGCAAGAAACTTTTTGGAGGCGCTGGGAGAAAGTTCCTAAGGTAAATTGGAAGAAACTTATTGAAAAAGCTGGAAGCCAGAGGGCTTAAGGAACAGTCACAAGATACTTCAAGGAGCAGTTGGGGAAAAATCGGGAAGAAATAGATTTCTGGGCGATGTTAGCAACATTTCCTGCAATATTCCTGATATTTATAAAACATCCCTGAATCCCCACAATGTCTCTGAAATTTTCAGAACATTCATGAACTGCACTTCGGAATAGCCCTTAATTCCTTGGAACTCCTTGAAAGGTCTTGCAATTTTCCTAAAGTTAATGGGTCTGTTTTGAAGTTTAAAAAGTTTTCATTAACCTCTAGGAACTTTGCTGAAGTTTTTGGAAACTCACTCAGCTTCTCGGAACTCCTTTAAAGGATTAGAAATTTTCATCAATTTATGTGTCCTGATGTTCTCAGAACTTTCCTAAAGTTATCTCAATTAATCATGTTTTGTTGTTTTTGACATCATCCACATTCAGAGGGCCAGTCACTTTCGAATGTATGGGAATGGTAGGAAACCATTTGGAAATGCGTGAAAATTTTCAGTTTTTATTCATTATCGTCTTTATGGGCAGTTTTAGATGCACAAAAGTTGCACGAGTACATTACTATGGTGATAAGGTAAACACTCGTTTATTTGTTTCCTTCTGTGAAAGCATGTTTAGTCACAAATCGTGGATTTTCTGATATTCTCCATACTGCAAAAATGATTTTCCTACCACTGAAGGGGCGACATCTCTCGGATCTTCAGTATAGCTACTACTCAAATCATATAATTAATTCTCACTCCTGTTGAAGTGTCCTGAAAACGATTAAATTTCTATGAAGTTCTTTGGACTTGTGAAGTTTCCAAAATATTTCAGATGTTTCCTTAATTACTGGAGTTCTCTGGACTTTCCTGAAATTCCCGGGTTCTCAAACTTTAACAGCAGTTAATGAAACTGTCTTTAATTTATCGGAACTTACCCTTACATATCTTTAAACTTACTCAAAAGTCCGAACTATTTCCGAAAAGTTCCTGCAGTTTTCTTGAAGCTAATAGAACTGCAATAAATCTTTGTTAGCATTCCTGAAGTTCCGGGGAAGTT